ACAATATCAGAAATAAATTTAAGAAAACGATGATATATGATCTCATCCGGAGTAAAAATTTATTGACTGTTTTATTGACTGTTTTGACTGTTTTGCGAGATATAGCTATCCATGGATGTCAATGACTTGGAGATCTCCTTACCCATCTACGACTTCTTCCAACTTCCAGGACATCTGAGATGCGTGGAACAGCATCTCATAAAGCATACAAGAACACTGCCGGATGCTAATCCCATCAGCAGCAGACGCCGACAGACTATTGATTGTGCAAATTAAGCTTTTCAAAGAGCCAGCGGTGGTTAGAGCGATTTAACTTGCTGTTCTTTCTAACTCTGAACAAACCATTAGCCAGACAATATAAGACGTGCATCTTGTCATAAGAAAGCTTGTCACGGCAAGTGTCGACTGTAAACCACTTTAAATACATTCACCCGGTCGTTATAGCTAATTAAACACCTTTGAAACGAGAGTGGGTTCTAGGCTTGTGTAGCATGCCATGGATACAGCTGTGACGACCGTCAAAGTAACCAACGAGTAATCAGATTAGGAAGGTGCAAATTACATTTAGAGCACACTGGGAATCGTTTCAATTATGGACTTTGAGAGGACGGCTTAAAAGCCACCAACCGCCACATTCAAAGAATGATGTATTTACGCCTTCTGGTACCCCTTCTTTGGAAAACATACAGTGGCACACCCGAGCATTGTAAAAGTTGTGGTTTTAAGCGCTTGTAGATAATTGTAAACAGTCTGATTTGAAAAACTTCAGCAATGTAAGAGCCTGCTACAAGTGCTGCGGTACTGTCGCGTTGAATAAAATTTTTTGTGAATTTCTTCAAACCACCCACCTGGTCCTGGAAGCTCTCCGAATTAGAAACCTGTAAGTTCACCTACTTGGCTACTACCAATCAAAGGCGTTCGCTGTGGAGTTCTTTAAAGGAAAACACCAAATGAACAGCTGCAGACTGGTGCACAAGGAAGCAAAATTCTCATATGCATCTTGCTTATAAAAGCTGAGTATCAGTCTTCTTCTCGCATGCGTCTTCCTGAACCGTCCTGGATATTCATTAACTATTACTCATATATAAACGAATGCTACAAAGCAATTTCACAAATTCCGTAATAATTCTCACTTTTCAAGGCAGAGAAGATTCACGAGAGAAACACATACTTGTTGGATTCATCATCAGTAGTGCCCACCGTTACACACCTTCCCTCTTTCAAAGGTCGTTCGCATGCCACCTATTTTCAGTTACCTCCGTTAGGTCGGCTTCAGCAGCTGGTTTATTCGGCCGCACTTTGGGTGCAACATGCCACCTCAGGAGCTGAGTCCTATTAAGTCTTTTCGATCTCCGACCGCCTCGGATTGTATAGACGTTCCCCGGGCGGTCGATAGCGCCAAACGGACCTTGCCATTGACTGCCCAACCTTCGAGACCCCAGTCAACTCCTTCCAGGATTCTGATGACCCTTCCACTTGACCTTCGTGCATATGGGGAATAGTCGTGCCCTTCTGCTTGCCCTTTTCTTTCAAATCCTTTCCTAAACGGCGGCCAAGTTTTCTCGGGCTTTCCTACTTTCTTCCTCTAGCTCCTCCGGAGACAAGCATGATGCCGGTAACAGCCCGATTTTCTGACCAACCGAAAGGCGCGGATGTCGACCTTACACATACATAAACAGGGACTTGCCTGTTCTTGGCTGAATGGAAGCACGAGGGGCTAGCAACAACATTAGCAGGTTCAATTCCAGTCAACCGTTTTCGCCGTCAGTCACTCCTTGATCGTTCGGTTATTACGGTTGATTAGACCATTTGTTTGCGGGTGTTGTGGTGCCGTCCTTAGGCGTCTGGTATCCAGCATCTGCAAGCAAGTCCTGAACTCTTCGCTCTCGAAGCTAGGCCCCTAATCAGTTGGAATCATTTTTGGCATCCCATGGTTGGCTGCAATGTGGTGCATTACCACCCCGCTGAAACTCGTCGCCCGTTGATTTGGAACGCCTTCCGCCTCGATTCACCACGACAGGTGTTCTGTCACTATCACGATATATTGATTCCAGGTGGTCTCCATCGGAAAGGGGCCCATGACGTCAGTCGACTATAAATGGACGATTTCTGAGGCAGGAACGGGCTCCGTGGGATGGATTGCCTCTGCTTCATCCCGTTTTATCAGTTGACGTCGCTTATGGGACACCACATAATCCATCACCTTAATTTCCATCCCGGGCAAGTAGGCCCTCTGCTGAAGTAACTTGTACACCGTGGTGCATCCCTTGTGTGCCATCTCGTGGCTTTCAACCAGCAGATTCCGCCTCAAAATGCAAGGCAGGACAACATCCGAATCGGTGGTGTTCCAGGAAATTGTGCCAGCTTCATTCGGACTCAGCCGATCAAAGTGATTCTGGAACGTTTCCAATTCTTAATGTCCCTCTCCGTTCTTAATTCTTCTTCCATTCAACAAGGTGGCTGCAACCTTTCGTAACACAGGATCCTGCCGTTGTAGTTGCACCAACCTTCCGGGATCCAGCTCGACGACGATGTAATTGCCCTCAACCAAGATCATAGAGACCTCACCTTCTGGCTCTGGTCTTAGCAGCTAATCAGCCAGGTGGTTCTACATACCTGGCACGTACTGGGTCGTGAAGCCGTACTCTCGTAACCGAGATGCCCAGAGTGTGAGCCCTTCACGGGTTTATCCAGTTGTCCTGACCCACTTCAGGGGTTTGTGATCGGTTTTCACATAAAAACCTTATTTAATCAGATATGGCCCCCACTTATCCAGGGCCCAGATAATTCCTCAACACTCTTTCCGAGTAGTCGAGTCCTACTGTTCAGCATTGGTCAGGACAGAACTGGTATATTCGATTACCCCGTTCCCGTGTTTTAGGACCGCGCCGGTACCGGGATCACTAGCGTCCGCTGCCACAGTGAACATCTCTCCGACCTTGTACAGTTTGAGAGTCAGCTGCTGATCCAGCATCCACACTTTGACACGCTCAAAAGCCTCGTGTGCTTCCATGGTCCATTTGCGTTTCCGATTTTGCCCAAGCAAGTCGTACAGTGGTGAAGCGATCGTGTTGAAGTCCTTAACAGCCCGGCTGCAGTACGCGGCTCGTCCAAAAAACTACTTCAGGGACCGCTTTGAATCGGTGACAGCACAATCCTCGAACTTTGCCAATATTTCTGGCAGTGTGCGCACCTGAACGTGCCCCGCTTTATGCTCCAATAGTGCCATTGAACTTCGAGCGCGCTGTAACTTGACTTCACGTATCCGCGGGCCATCCTTCCGTATCCGCTTCCACATGACCTTTAATTGAACTGCGTGTTCTGGTTCTGCTTTGTTGCACACAAAAATATCGCCCCCATGCACGACAACGTGCTAAAGTCAAATCGCCAAACGAAGCATCAAGCGTCGGAATATGAACAGCGTCATAGACAAACTAAAAGACATCCGTCTAAATTGATATTGGGCGTCTTCAACCGTAAACGACGTCTCCTCCCGGTGCTCCACTTTGAAGGATGGTTGCAAGTATCCGGAACGCAGGTCAAACATGGTGAAATATCGGGAATGCTGGAGGCAATCGAAGATCTATGCGTCTGAAGCAAAACTACCACCCGATTTACGGTCAGTTTATTCAAACACCAGAAATCCACTCAAAACCTGCATTTTCCACTCGCATTCCTTACAGGAACAACCGGAGAGTTTCACGTACTGTTGGCTCCCTTGATTGTGTCAGATTTCAATATCTCTTGAAGTTGTCTGTGGACCTCACCGCGTACGGACTGAAGCCGTAAGGTCGAAAGCATTTGGAAGAGGGGTGAATTTTATGTTCAGTCTACGGACAGAAGCCAAATGGATCTTCGTCGTCTTTGAACAGTCCGGAGTACTGTACTGACTGTACTGATGGCACGTTACAAAAAGGAAGCTTTCGGAAATGCGGTTCGTTGACGGCGGTGTTTATGTAACCTTCAAGCTCGACTGAGCCACACTTTTTCATCAGTTTTTTCCGCTTAAGGTAACCCGCGGATTCTTTACTCTTGAGGAAATCTGCTCTGTGTTGTCTGCCCTGTCTGGTCTCATCAGGAACGCGTGCTGCACAGACTTGTCGCCTAGGCGTATCGAGTTCATTGACAGTCCATAAATCTCCAGTCAATATCCACCCACTGCTCGCACTGCTAGCGCACACGGTCTGTATTCGGCTTGGCTCCCTCTCCGCCTCAGAGACACCCCTGCTCCTGTGTCAATTGGGCACAACTCCTTCTTTCTGTTTGTCGCGATAACGGCCTTCGTGGTAGCGGTATTACTGCGATAATCGCAACCCACCGGGGAAAAGAAGGATATTCCAAACTTTTGTTATGTGCAGGTGGTCGGATACGACGACATCGATTCTTCCACTGGCCGGGCACGCCACATTTGCAGTAACAGCTTGCTTGGGCGTGCCTCTGCAAATCCGTACCGATGAATGAAAGCTGTTTCGCTGGTTGGTCCCGTCTATTCTGCAGTTCTTTCACTGTTGAATCATCCCTCTTCTCCTGAGACCGCACGGTGGCCACTGGCGCATCGAACAGCTCCCGTGTCAGATGCATCAGATGCTCACATTTTAACTGGCCAGTTGCTCTCGCCAACCGCAACTGGACACCAAGCGCCGGCTGCACACTTTCGACATACCGGTCAGACAGCAGCTTCTGGCGCAATACTCGGTCCAGTCCCGACAACGCCCGATCCGACGACCGCTGCAGACTGACAAAGAACATACTCTTGTCGCATCCATGTTTCATCCTGGTCCTCTTGAACCGCCTCACAGACTCCTGTCTGTCAGCCGGCATGTCGAACCCCGTTTCAAGAGCTTCCTGCCTGGTGGCCCAGTCCACCTTCCGAGGACCCCTTCTAGCGGCATCCAGTTACTCTCGCCCGGCCTCTGAAGATGGTCTTCGGCGCCAAAAAATTACGCCGGCTGGTCTCCAGCCAGCAGCTTCCCCCGCCTCCTGGAAGTCCTCCATGTAGGTCAGCACATCCCGTCCTCAAGAGTTGTGGCTGCGGGATCTTCATTCTTTTCCTGGGCGCAGCACTAAATGAAAGGAGGAAAACCCTTCACTATGGACTTATTTATTCGAAAACACCAACTGAAAAGTTACAGACTATTGGACAAAAAGTAATAACTCTCACATGCATCCTTAGTGTCTGTCTTCTTCCCTGAACTTTCTTGTGTACTCATTGACTAGCACTCAAATGTAAACAAATGCTACAAAGCAATTCCACAAATTCTGTAATAAATCTCATTTTTTAATAGACGCGAATCGGATTTACAAGAGAAGCATAAACCAGTCACATGCCTCATCAGTAGTATTCGCCGGTACACCAATAAGCCATCATTTCCACCTACAATACACTTCTCCCTTTCATCACCCCTGCTAAAGCCCAACGTTGGTCTGGATTTTAGCGCAACTTTTCAAAGACACCAAGGCTCAGAGGCCGTTTTTTGTTTTAGTTTAGCGAGTATGAATGGCACCGAGCACCTCAGGGTTATCGTGTGCCATCCCTTGGAGGCGATTTGGGAGGAAGGTGTGGCAAAACCTACCTCGAAGTATGGTCTGGTCAGCTGTCCATCTGTTGGCTCTACGCCCGTCTTGGGCATGCATCCAGAGACAACAGACCATGCTGCAAAGTAGACCGTGGTTCCTGAAAAGGCTATCGTGCACTGCGAATCTACCGTCAGACAATGAATAATATTAGGAAGAACTAAGGGGCTTTGGTCAATGTGGTTTCAATAATACGAATGAAAAATTTTGAAACTGGCGCATAATAAGCAAACTTTTTCACTACGGATTTCACGAAAAGCGCACTAGTGGATTGAAGACACTTCGAAGTTTATGACAGAGAATCTGACGGTTAACCACCTGTCGAACAACAATGGGAAATACAAGGTACTACAGAGATCATTCCACTGACCAACCCTTCCAAAGTACTTGCCCATGACCATTCGTAACACTCGTGATTTTCTTGTATATGCTAGCAGCCTGCCCGATCTACAACCAAGCTGAGTGCATAGCATAGCTGGAAAGACCTTCAAGGGGTACAACCCATCCACACCAAATGACACGCTATGCATACTAAGAACAAGTACCTATAGCTTGATGGCGGACAGAGTTGGAATAGAGAAACGGCATCGGCAAAATTGTGCCCATCGGGCCTTTACCTGACTGTGAACGCATGACAGTGGCCACAATGGGGTTTTCTTTGATTTTAGAGGACTTTCTGAAACAAAATTTTAAGATACAGTGTGCCCGCCATTTTCTTTGAATAACATTGGTTTCGGAGAACACGCAACAGGCCACAAAACCATTTACCGGGGAGGATAGGTGAAATGGCCCTGAATTTGTCGCGGGACTCAACCTTACATGCCACCGCGCAGATCGGCAGTTACCAAATGAAACTGATTTTTAAAAAACCACGAGGTTATCAAGCTTAACAAATGGCGATTCAGAATTCTTATCTCGTGGGTGTTCCTGCAAATTTCTTGGATGATTGATTTGTTTAAGTGGGTAAATCCTCGAGATCGCAGGTGTCCTTGATTTAGAGAGCAGTACCTAACGAAACAAGATATCTTGACTTGGAGTAAAACGTTAATCATTTGCAAGGGGCAGAAGTATCGGTTAATTCTGTAGATGTAAGCGTTTGTGGAAGTTTCTAGAGCCCATGTTGTACTGGTGGATGTTAAATATGTGAGTGTAACTCTTGTAACTAATTATTTCAATCTTAGGAATTCTGCTCTGCTAGACGGACGCCAAATCTTGTTCTCGAACCCCGAGGATAGCTATTTCAGGCGATCGTCCTGTTAGACAAATTATTACCCTTGTAGATGATAATCACATATACTGGCATGTAGATATTTCAATGGGGTTTTCTTTGATTTTAGAGGACTTTCTGAAACAAAATTTTAAGATACAGTGTGCCCGCCATTTTCTTTGAATAACATTGGTTTCGGAGAACACGCAACAGGCCACAAAACCATTTACCGGGGAGGATAGGTGAAATGGCCCTGAATTTGTCGCGGGACTCAACCTTACATGCCACCGCGCAGATCGGCAGTTACCAATTGAAACTGATTTTTAAAAAACCACGAGGTTATCAAGCTTAACAAATGGTGAATCAGAATTTTTATCTCGTGGGTGTTCCTGCAAATTTCCTGCATGATTGATTTGTTTAAGTGGGTAAATCCTCGAGATCGCAGGTGTCCTTGATTTAGAGAGCAGTACCTAACGAAACAAGATATCTTGACTTGGAGTAAAACGTTAATCATTTGCAAGGGGCAGAAGTATCGGTTAATTCTGTAGATGTAAGCGTTTGTGGAAGTTTCTAGAGCCCATGTTGTACTGGTGGATGTTAAATATGTGTGTATCTCTTGTAACTAATTATTTCAATCTTAGGAATTCTGCTCTGCTAGACGGACGCCAAATCTTGTTCTCGAACCCCGAGGATAGCTATTTCAGGCGATCGTCCTGTTAGACAAATTATTACCCTTGTAGATGATAATCACATATACTGGCATGTAGATATTTCTGGTGTTTCCCTTCAAATCGCCACGGGGCATTTGGGTGCTATTTAACGGAGGAAGAATTCTTCATTGCGAATGGGAAAACGCACCAGGCTTTAAATTGCCTACGCCAGGAGGTTGCTGAATGGTCACCAGCTGTATAGATACATCGTGAGCTGCTCAGCATAACGTTTTGTCAATTGAGGTTGTAGTGGTCAGGATACCCAGAAAGCTACTTACCAGGAATGTGTGGGAAAGAAATAGAAACAATAATGCTAGTTTGAGTGTATAATAATAAACATGTCAGATCAATAGGCTTACTAAGAATTATTCTCTTTAGTTTCGTTCGTCGTTGGCCAATGTCAGCGAATAAACAATAATCAAATCATGGTTGTCCAAGGGTCTTCTTCTGCATAGTTGTCACTTATAGATTCCGAAGATAGTCTGAAATGTTGTGACATCGGAGTTAACACATGAGACTTGCGAATGACCACTGTAAGAGTGGGCGACGTTACGTTCGTTTTGCGTGAAATTGTGCAAGTGCACGTTTTTGACGTTTTTTGTATTCGAACAAAAAAACAGTTATATAATTGACTGAGTACATAATGTTATAATGGAAGCAAAAGAAAGATACGGAAGATCACATGTTTCAGACTTCAGTAATAGCTGCTGCAAACGCCTCTCAGGCTCCATTCTTTCACTTCGCTTGATCCCCGGTGTACGTTTGCACGGTCCTCTACTTAAGTCAATCCCTCATCTAACTCAACTACCTCTGCTGCCAGAATCGAACCCCAAGTCCGATGGCTGCAACCGAGACGTCTGTGACGGGTTGTCCAGAAACCGAAGTATTTCAATGCAATGTCGGCACGGAACTTCCATAACGTGTCTGATGGCAATATTGCAACTATTTTCCAACAATATTAACTATCCACTCTCGCGCACTGGGTTTTTATTTGTAACCACGAACAAATTGTTTACCTGGCCCAAACCGGCTTTGGGAAGGCTTTGTCCCTACCCGCCGAACCTTTCGTTCGAACCTAACAATTCCGGTTTTGGCATTTCAGTTTGCCATTTTCTCATTCTTCACGAGTTATTTTCGATGTCGTTTTGGTCCTGTGCATCAGCGTGATCTCTATATTGCAAATATTCCTCACAGTTTACTTCCATCTAACATCGACACCAGTGAGTCTAAAGAGTTCCAATGAAAACCATATTTTTGATACATCTGCCATTTGTCTCAACCTCCGTTCCTTCTGGGACCCTGACCATTTTTTCAACCGCTTAAGGTTACACATGACCAGCAAAAGCTCTTCAGGTCTAGTGCAACTCAACCATCTTCATCATTTAACTAGTCGTACCTCATGCCCCATTCATTTAGCCTTCTTGTTTTCCAAAACCTGCGATTACTCATCACGTGATAAAGATGCCCCCTTGGCTTTGCCTTCCCGTTGTATTTCTGGTCACAACTACTAGGTCGTACCGGCACGAGCATACTTCAATTGGCGTGTTGTCTGCAGGATTTTAAATAAGCCAACCAATACTATCATATCCTTCTAACTTTCATCCATGGCTTTTTCTGTCTTAGGTGGGTTTAAATCTTTTCAAAACTTTGGAATGGATGCCTCTTGCTAAAAACCTTCTCCAGTACTACGTTATGCGTCTTATACTTCTGGGCAGAAGAACTGCGTTGGTACTGGACACGAGCTTCATTTCTTTGCGCTGGTTGATGACCTTGAGCCTCAATTTGTGGTGCTGTATTCAAGCAAGCGACCTGTTCAATCAGTCAGCAAATGTGGTTCAAGAAACTGCGCTCGTTGTGTCAGATTTTGTCTCCTACCCGAACTCACTTACCAGATGCACTAAAATTTACAGTCAGCATTTCGGACAGCGCTTCATTCCATAATTTAACTCGCCTAACACCCGCAAAAATCTACCTGCTTATCATGCACCATAATATGCACCTGGTTCGACACTTTTCTGTGTAAGTCTGGCCAGACCACACTTTGACTGAATCATGCTTCGCTGAAGCGCAACTCCAATCATTAATCGGTCAATAAGACTAGTAAGACGAACATGCAGAACCGAAGTTTTGAATTAATTATTTGACTGTGCGAGCTCAAACCATAAGCACAAAAAGTCATTAGGGGCAAGCAGTTTTCTATAACCTAACTGCTCAGTAGTGGTCCTCAGTGTCCAGACCTTTCAAATAATGACGCACTATCTGCATATTCGGGGGCCCACATCACAAGCAACGCTGCATCCAATATGCGACATCATTCAAATAGGACAGCACAATGAACTTATTGACCAATACCATGTGTCGCACTAAGTGGGAAATACTTTGCGGCGCATCGTCACCTTCTCAAACTGGCGCTGAGGTCGTTACAGCCATTAGGTCAGCCTATTTTGGCAAATCTCAGGCAACTGCATTCCGAAGTACTTCGGCCATACAAACGGGATTTGGACCCTTGAGCGTGGAGCATCTGCACCATATAATTTTAGACCAACTTTCTAAAACCGTGAATAAACTTTGAAGGCTTAAACACTGTGCTTACTCACGACAAGAGCAGTGCGAGCTGTAACCGGTTAAGTACATCTAACCCCAACGTGTTTTGTCCTTCTCACCAGTGAGATCCAGCGGTTCTAGGGATTTTTTCAAGCCAGTGTCATAAATCCATCACGCCCTCCAGTCTGTGTAAACAGCAATATGGTATTACCCTTGGTCAGTTAGCTTCTGAACAAGACAGACACTCTGAGTCCTCAAACCTCCAGTTTCCACCGTGCCACTCAAACTTGTGAAGAAAAATAGCTGTCTCAAATCGTTCAACTCTTTGTCAACAAGTGTTTTTATCGCCACCATCCTGCCGAGCTAAAATATCATTTACTCCCCAGACCTAAACAAGTATGCTGGGACTCGGAAGTATAGTAATTGAATGATTTATAAAATCTTCAGACAGAGTTTTTCTTTTGTCTATATTCCAATCTATGAAGCAAGCTTTTCTCGCATCACTCTGGTGCGAGCTGTTGTAATACCTCGTTTATTGACTTTTTACTAGGGGAGCCGATCGTCTTTCCTCCCTACAGCTTACACTAGACATTTCCTTTGAAAAGGGCCTCCATCTCTTCCAATTTGCACTGTCACCATGACTATCCTATTGCTCTGTCCTACCATGAAATCATACTAACTTGAAACCTCTAGGGTCGATCCGCGCGCGAGTCAGATTCCGTTCTGTTTGTTCTCGGCCATTAATTACCCTCTTACCTATCTCTTGTGCAAGTTTTACTTCCTGGGAATACTTTTGCTCTCTGAAGTTCAGATCTATTTTCGAATGCCTGCCGTCGTAACTGTTTTTAAGCTCATCTCTACTGACCCCGTTATATTTCCGTACTTTTGGTCTCATGCTTCTGTGCCCAGACAACCTATTCCTTGTATTTTCAAGCCAGGTCAAATCCCTTAACAGCTTTGTCAGTTCTAGTAAATGTCTGGTTTTTTGCCCTGCCTAGATCTAATTGAAAAGAACCAAATTGAAACCTTATTCCCCCACTTGCAGAACCATTACGCACCAAAATACCCAGTGCATGTACACTAAATAGTGGGTCCGAAGATTCGCCATCAATGGAATGCTCGCTTGGTTTAAGACCCACTCATCTAAATACACAACATGGCGGTGCATCTCTGTTTGACACGGCGATCCAACTGGATGAAATGTCTGGTAACCGGGGGTTATTTATTATTACACAAGCCGCAATTATTACTGCAGGGTGGCTTGTTGCTCTGCCAGGACGGTGGCCCTTCAACGATGCGCCATTTTTCGCTCGTATGCTCGCATAACCTCCAGTAACCCTGGAGCATTACCCATTGTCTGGTTCCAGGCCCTGTCTTTAATTCGAGAATCAGATAAACATGCACCCATTTCGTTCGTCTGTAGCTGGTTTGGAATGGCCTTGGTTGTCAATTATCTAACAAAGCTAGGAAATAAAGGCAAAGGGCAACCGTCTTTCCATCCGGTTCATAAAAATGCACGGGTCAGTCCGAAGATACTCTGCAAGGCTCGCGTCGAGCATTCACGTGAAAGGCGTTGACACCTCCGCTTTGGGTGAGGAAAGCGCAAGGGCGAGCTCAAGGAAGGAATAGTGAGTAAAAAAAACAAAACACATGTATCATGAGACCAAAAGTAATTAGTTGAACTAAACACTACATTTTGTTTTAACCCATCACACCTATACTCTACCCGTGCCACACTTTCAACTATCACTCCCGATTTCGCGTGAAAATGTTCGGTAGTTTGAAGGATAAAATAATGGAATTTAGGGTAATGTCAACTGGTAACTAACTAACGAAAACAGGAACTAGCTATGGGAGATGAACGTTGTGAACTAGCTGACGGCGAAAAGCGTGTGGAATTCGAACGCACTATCAAGAAAAATGAATTACAGTTATACAGAAATCAGATGCAGCAGAATTGCCCTGCACTGTTCGAAGCTAATCGTCTGAGAGAAAGAAAAAGACAAGAATGTGCATTCTTGACGAACCTAAAAAAGGTAGCATGGAATCTGCCCTTCATTCGCGACTTTAAAATCAAGGAAGATTCAAATGCAAAACTTCGAATTGATATTAAAGAAAGTGAGGAGGAACTCGCTAAGTTCTTGAGAGAACAGGACGATCTACGAGAGAACATCTACCGGAAACGCTTACAGTTGAGAAACTCGGAGTAATTCTGGGGGACAAATCAATTATCCATTTTTTACAGGCCTGAACTTCGAAAGCTAGCTGATCAAATAAGAAATAGAATAAGCGGTCATATCTTGGCGACGCAAATCGAAAACAGAAGACGACAGCGTCTGAAAGACTTGGTACGTTATTCCCCGATTAAGCAGTCTGGCAAGCCATCCAGCGTAGTAAGTGTTTGAGGGTGTACATGGTGAAACGCCAACTATGTAGTGGTTAACGGCCCTATGGAGTCTATAGTGAACGTAACTGTTTTTAAGCTCATCTCTACTGACCCCGTTATATTTCCGTACTTTTGGTCTCATGCTTCTGTGCCCAGACAACCTATTCCTTGTATTTTCAAGCCAGGTCAAATCCCTTAACAGCTTTGTCAGTTCTAGTAAATGTCTGGTTTTTTGCCCTGCCTAGACCTAATTGAAAAGAACCAAATTGAAACCTTATCCCCCCACTTTCCAGAACCATTACGCACCAAAATACCCAATGCATGTACACTAAATAGTGGGTCCGAAGATTCGCCATCAATGGAATGCTCGCTTGGTTTAAGACCCACTCATCTAAATACACAACATGGCGGTGCATCTCTGTTTGACACGGCGATCCAACTGGATGAAATGTCTGGTAACCGGGGGTTATTTATTATTACACAAGCCGCAATTATTACTGCAGGGTGGCTAGTTGCTCCGCCAGGACGGTGGCCCTTCAACGATGCGCCATTTTTCGCTCGTATGCTCGCATAACCTCCAGTAACCCTGGAGCATTACCCATTGTCTGGTTCCAGGCCCTGTCTTTAATTCGAGAATCAGATAAACATGCACCCATTTCGTTCGTCTGTAGCTGGTTTGGAATGGCCTTGGTTGTCAATTATCTAACAAAGCTAGGAAATAAAGGCAAAGGGCAACCGTCTTTCCATCCGGTTCATAAAAATGCACGGGTCAGTCCGAAGATACTCTGCAAGGCTCGCGTCGAGCATTCACGTGAAAGGCGTTGACACCTCCGCTTTGGGTGAGGAAAGCGCAAGGGCGAGCTCAAGGAAGGAATGGTGAGGAAAAAAAAACAAAACACATGTATCATGAGACCAAAAGTAATTAGTTGAACTAAACACTACATTTTGTTTTAACCCATCACACCTATACTCTACCCGTGCCACACTTTCAACTATCACTCCCGATTTCGCGCGAAAATGTTCGGTAGTTTGAAGGATAAAATAATGGAATTTAGGGTAATGTCAACTGGTAACTAACTAACGAAAACAGGAACTAGCTATGGGAGATGAACGTTGTGAACTAGCTGACGGCGAAAAGCGTGTGGAATTCGAACGCACTATCAAGAAAAATGAATTACAGTTATACAGAAATCAGATGCAGCAGAATTGCCCTGCACTGTTCGAAGCTAATCGTCTGAGAGAAAGAAAAAGACAAGAATGTGCATTCTTGACGAACCTAAAAAAGGTAGCATGGAATCTGCCCTTCATTCGCGACTTTAAAATCAAGGAAGATTCAAATGCAAAACTTCGAATTGATATTAAAGAAAGTGAGGAGGAACTCGCTAAGTTCTTGAGAGAACAGGACGATCTACGAGAGAACATCTACCGGAAACGCTTACAGTTGAGAAACTCGGAGTAATTCTGGGGGACAAATCAATTATCCATTTTTTACAGGCCTGAACTTCGAAAGCTAGCTGATCAAATAAGAAATAGAATAAGCGGTCATATCTTGGCGACGCAAATCGAAAACAGAAGACGACAGCGTCTGAAAGACTTGGTACGTTATTCCCCGATTAAGCAGTCTGGCAAGCCATCCAGCGTAGTAAGTGTTTGAGGGTGTACTTGGTGAAACGCCAACTATGTAGTGCTTAACGGCCCTATGGAGTCTCTAGTGAACAGAACAAATTACTGATGTAAGCCGGTACAAAGTCACAAAGAGAAAAATACAAGTAAATCTTGACTCACAGTTCAAAACAGGAGATTCCGTATTTCCGTATTCCGTTGAACCACCACACCAAGAATAGTTCTATCTTCCTGGTATCCCAGATCCCCGGTGATCGAAATATTAATCCACAAAATATATTATATTAGTCCAGTGTTTGCAGCTGAAATGTTTGTTCACGTTTAGTGTTAACAGCGATCAAATATAGCCAACCGGCGGACACCAGTCACACGCAAGTGCTACAACTATCTCGCTCACGAGCGATTTCGCTTTGTAATAAAGTATAGCCATCTAACGGGATAAACTTAAAAAGAATCTTTGTGATAAACACAGAAAACTATATCTCTGGAGCATCATATTTGTGTGGGGGCTATGTGCAAGGAAAATTTGAGGAGAGGACAACGAGTCTGAGAGACAAAATTGGTCAATGAACCAACATCTGGAGAACTGTAAATTCGGTTGCCACTTGTGTAGAGTGGAAATCAATTGAAGGACGCTGTTTGTGAGGAAAGAAACCAAGAGCAAGCGAACACTTAGGACAAAGGAAACAGTACAATTGTGCCTTATAATACAACATGAAGCACTGATCCCAAGCCTTAATGGACATCAGGCTTGATAAGGTAAAATATGAATATTCCACAGTATTGAAAACACTGGCTACCGCAAACATCTTAGTTTGTCAGTGCAAATGGTAATTATTTAGCTGACTGAGCACGTAGGGAAGCCAGTTTGAGATTTCCCTTACGTCATCCTGTCACGTCATCAATTATGACTCCGGCATTTCATTCCCCTTGGATCTTCATTAAGTAGGAATATAAATGTCTCTGTGCAGAATCACTATTTTTACTCGAGACTTTCAAGCATATGCTATGTTGAGGGCTACCACATCTATTGCAGCAACACAAACTGGATGCCTTAGTTACCCACTGAGGGCCCACCAGACGGACGGTCTGCCGCAAGTTTACCAAACCTCCAGTTTAATGACCGAGGTGTGCAACTAACTTTTACCATCAAATCAGTTCAAATATTTTCTGGGTAAAAACCACGTTAAGTACTGTCTGTGACTGTCATTCCCAGTGTCAGTGTAGACTTAAGGGCGTTCTAACTGCGTACGTTAGAACAAATCCTTCACCATTTGTCACGGCCGATAATAGGCCGGTCCACCGTTACTTCACTGTTTGTATTACCGCCATTGGTGCAATGTCGCACAGACTGAAAAGACGTTAGAAATATAACAACCTAGTTTGAATAACTTCTTAGAAACCAGAGCTTGCAATGGTGCCGTTAAATTGACGCTATACCGGGGTTAACAAGCCGCCTATATAAAAAATATTTTCAGTAGCATACGACAACTTACCGAGATTTGGTAGCAACTTGAGCTCATGTGGGACCTTAAATTTTATGTGGAGCTTCAAAAAAATACCCAGTTGGACTATTTTACCTTGCATCCTAGATAAGACCAACCCAAGGCCTATGGTTTGATAACCCCCGGTGGCACTGTGCTTACCTTCAAAATGTTGGTCTGTCATCTTCTAAAATATCTGCTTTTGTCAGCCTTATGTTAGACAGCTGTAGACAGCTGTAAGGTGGACTGTATGATTAACAAGCGGGAAACTAATTTCTGCAAGTTTTTAGCTGTACGCGTTTGACGATTGTTTGGATCTAAGCGATGGACCAATAGTGCTTGGGTTGAAATTCACATTACTCAAAGAATTTTGGTGCCAGGGAAAAGAAGAATTAGCCATAATAATACACGAGCATCAGTTGGGTATCACAAATCATAGGACGGAATGAATTTCGTGCTCTCTACTCCTATATTCAGTCAGGAGCATTAAAAAAACAAAGTTCAACCCAACTTGCGCATAAGATGAGAGGAGAAACATTTCGAGTATATCATATGTATCATCCGTACCATATGTATTACTCTTTAGGTTTAACGTATAACGGCCGCAGCTTTCTTAAAGCCACAGAAGTAGCTACTCCGCTCTGACCAATCCCACATTTATCTGCGCTTCATCAATCTTGTCCAGTGCAGTGTCAAATTATTACCTGACTGCTTATTTTGTTTACTTCCCAGATGGTTGGGTATTTATGGGGTAGGTAAAGTATAACCTAATCAAGTTCCGCCAAGCCCCATTATTCTTTGCCAGAACAAGGTATCATCAGTATTACTGAGCAGGATCCCAATGTTGCATGAGAAAACGTTTAACTTAAGACTCCCCGTCACAGTAAGTAAGTAATGCTTAGTTTTCACCATTTTAATACCAAAAGATTTGCAACACAAACATCCCTTCACGTTACTGAAGCCACCACTAAATCAGGCATGCTACGAACTTTACTTATGGTTCGTTAAACATAATAACATTACAAAAATGTTTGAGCTTGATCTTTAGCTTCTGAAAGATATCTAACCTAAAAAAACTGAGTACCAGACATGGTGATCTGGGAGTGACGCTACCATCAGTAAGAGGTGGAAATATAGAAATGGCAAAATGTGTTTATTTTTTGAAGCCGATTACACCTCCATTATATGATCCACTTTTCGTGTCCGGATCTGAGGTTACTACACGACAGAAGCAGGTGTAAATAGAATAGCTCGAATGAACCCCTAATAAGAGTTTCTTAAGTCTTTCTACGGCTTTTCCTCAAAGAAAGGAAAATAACCTCGTTAATATGGAAAGTATCAATGGGTATTAGTGAAAGACTTTTCTGTCTAAAATAAAATAATTAAAACTGGAGTATCAGCGGCGTTGTCATTGTTGCACATTCTACTTAAACTTGTTAACCGCAACAAAGCACAATGTTGAGGCAACGCAAAACGGTGCCCTTCCTACGCTGCCCTGCAATAATACGGATAGGCAAGGATAATGCACGAGGGATGAGTGGAAATAAACTAAGTGTGGTGTAGCAGATGCTTTTGAAGAACTTGTTTAGGACAGCTGTAGATAGTTTTAGTAACCCTTTACTAACTAGAGCGTGCGTACGTGTTCCTCTTAATAAAGAAAAACCTTTGTTTTGCACAGTAGTTTATGTCTTGAAGATGGCGACAGAAGCAACATTCACCTCAATTTCGTACATAAGTGGACCTTTGAGAACTTTTCGAAGCTTCAGTCTTCCTGATTATCAACTTAATTACTTGTTTACAAAATTGGGCTTTCTGATTATTTTCACTGGTTTGGCTTTCTATTGAAGCAACGCTTAAGCAAATAATATGACTACTGCTTGAATCGGAGCAATTTTCTGGCACATTTCACATTTTGAAGTTGATGAAAACTTCACGTGTCGTTCATTTTGGGCATAACAGTATACTATGTTATTTGCATGGTATCGCTGGTTATGCACACACATGGTACAAATATCATTTACTTGTAGATGCATAAGTGTCACAAATCACATCGTTTTGTTTTAAAATAGTTTGAAGTTATGTACTAAATCATCATCATCATCATCGACAGCATGACATCAGTGTTGAACACCGATGCTTCACTGCCGTACAACCATGACTTATTTGAAAGCCTTATTGT